GGTTGTAATAGAAAATGTTATATTGCTGCTACGGCTCATTATATTGATCACTTGTGGCTTCTACATAAAAGAATTATTGCATTTAGATGTGTAGAATTTCCTCATAATGTCACTAATATATACATAGTTTTAAAATATATCATACAGGAATATGGTATACAAGATATGGTTCGAAGTTTTACTTTGAATAATGTTGCAGTGAACAAAGTTGTTATTGAAAGATTTATTGCTGATCTTAATCCCGTATTTGGAAATTTATTTTTTCATCAACGTTGCGTATGTCATATTATTAATTTGATTGTAAAAGCTGGATTAGAACATATAAGTTCACCTTTAGATAAAATTAAACAAGCAATAAATTTTATTACTGTATCACCAGCAAGAAAACAAGCATTTAATAGTTTGTGTGCAGAGTATGAATTACAGGAGAAATCATTTGCCACTGATGTAACACACAGGTGGAACTCTACATATCTTATGTTATATTTGTGTGAAAATTACGATAAAGTAATTTCACTATATTATAATGGTAGACATACACTCGGACCCGAACATAATTTGGAAGATTGGGAATGGACTATTGCATTTTACGTGAAAAAATTCTTACAACCTTTTTTCGATGCTACAAAGGAATGTAGCGGTGTTTATTACCCTATATCTTCTCTTGTTTTACAACATTTTTTCTACATTTCACAAGCATTTCATAAATATAGGAATTTTCCACTTTTTGCTGATGTAGTCCGCTCTATGGAGTTAAAATTTTGTAAATACTGGGAAGAGTTGCCTTCTTTATTTCTTTTAGCTTCAGTAATGGACCCTCGACTTAATTTAATTGGCACAAAAACTACTGTAAAGGGGATATTAGATTTTTTGAATATAGAATTATCACACGTGCATATAGAATCTTTTTTATGTGAAATGTATAATTATTATGCTGAAAAGGAAGGTCAGCATAGTTCTACTTCCCAAAGTTCTTTTTCAAGAAATATTTCAACAAATCCCGAAAATTTATGGAATTATTTAGATAGCAATACAAGTGCTCCTTCATTTAGTTCTAGTTCTAGCTCATCAACATCTAGAGCGATTAATATTGGTGGTATAAATCTTGAAATTCCTTCTGAGTTAGCTAGGTATATGTGCGTGGATGTTCGTAGTGTGTTACAACTGCACGAATTACAAGAATTTAGTCTTTTAAATTGGTGGAGATGTAACGAAAGGCAATATCCAATTGTATCAAAAATTGCACGTGATCTACTAACACCTCCGGTGTCTACGGTAGCATCGGAGGCTGCATTCAGTTTAGGTGGTCGAATTTTATCAGATGAACGATCAAGACTAAAAGAAGATATATTGGAGGCTTTGATATGTTTGAAGGATTGGGAATGTGCAGAATTACGTGTTCAAGAACATGTTGATAGTATAATGGCCGAAAAGTTGCAGCATATCCAAACATAGGATGTTGTAAGTTTTTAAATTAATTATTTTTCTTTAAGAAATGTATTTTTTTAATTTATTTGATTCAAAAAAATTGTACACGAAATATTTTATTCGTGTGCAATTTTAACTCCGCCTACGTTGATTGTAGCCGGTCCCAGGCCCGGAAAAAGGAGGAGGGTTGTAATTTGTAACTTTTATTTATTTTGTTATTCGTATAAATTACATAATTTTGAAAGTTGTACTTTTATTTAATTTATAATTTGTATAAATAATAAATGATGCAATTTTTAAATTCTTTCAAAAAAATGTCATTCAACAATTTGCACCACAACAATTAACATGTAAAAAAAATGTCATTAAAAATTGCAAAAAAAAAAAAAAAAAAAACCGAGCCGGCTTGACTCGGCTCGTTTACATCCCTAGGCTGCACACAGGCCACTGTCCAACCATGGTCCATGCGGTTTTTTCCATTCCTCCATTTTTTTTTTTTTCAATAGTAAAACTGGAATAAGGCCCGTTTAAAATGCAATCCTAAATTTTTTGTGCAATGCATAACATAAAAAACTTAAATTTTTACGGTTAGAAATTGGGCTGCCTTCCATTAATTCTTGATTTATGATTTCAAGTTCGACATTGGGCAATGTTTTTTCATGGAACTTTAAATAAGGCTTTGAAGGTCTTGTTTAGCTTGATTTGCTTATCTTCGCACAACGTCCTCGAAGATACTGTTTTGCTCTCTTGAATATGTATAATTTGCTTAGATTACCTAATTCGAACTCAACTAAGAATACTTCGAATCTCCTCGTCATCTTTAATCACTTAATCGATGAAGTTGAAAGTTTGCATACTAATCCCATCTTCTTTGAATGCTACTAATTCGTTTTGCTCCTTCATTATTAATTCCTCAATTTTTACATGTTCTTCTTTAGTTGTTGATTCATTAGGTTTAATGATGAAGAGATCCTCCATAAACATCTTATTTGTTTCATCCGAAATTATTTGATTTTCTATCATTTTCGATTTCTGCATGGCGAAGACATCTCCCACAAGCATGTCACTGTCATCATCTTCTTCTTCATATGGATCCTCAAAGATAGCTTTTCTCACTTCCTCCCACTACAATTAAGCTTTATGAGATGTGAAGGTCACTAAATAGAATATTAATTTTAATAATATTCTTACAGCCGTAGCCGACTGGGTTCAGTGCCCAGGTGACCCACCCATCAAGCTTTGTAGGAGGGGCGATGAAGGCAACGGAAACAGTTGGGTTGAGCTTGGCAGTTGAATCGTAGGTCCAATGGAGATCAATGCAGTTGGTGAAGCGTGTATTTTTCATTTTGAAGGTCTGTGGAGTGCAGGTGAGTGAACATGCTGGTGAGATTAGCAGAGGCAATGCAATGAGAAAAATAAATAAAAATTGAATATACAGAGTGAAATTTTGTCACATTTGGGAGTACACTAATGAAGACAATGAAACATAAAAAGTAAAAAGAAAAGAAAAGAAAAATAAAAAGAATGAATGCTATTGTTTTCTTCTTTCTTTCTATCAATGTTGAATTTTTTCCCTAGAAAATTGGGTCTTTGTCGTCTTCGTCTTCAAGGAAAGCGAAGACAGTCCTCGCTCAAAGCATTGAGTGGGTCCATCAGCCATGTCCGAACATGATCCAACAAACGAAGAATATAAGAGATCAAAGCATCAAAATCTGGATCCTGAGTACTAATGGAGCAATACTGGATGGGAGTACGAGGAACTGGACATCTACAAAGGGGACAAGTAGAATGTCTCTGCAGCCAAGCATCTATACAATTAACATGAAATCCATGCTTGCATGTTGGAAGGATCTTGTAATTATCACCCTGAGACACTTGGCTCAGGCATACAACGCAATCGAGTTCTAGGCCACCTTCTTCCTCGAGCTTTTCTGTCGTTGTTGTAGCACCTTGATCCTGATACTTGAAAATTTTAGCAGCTAGCGAACGTAATGATGCTCTTATTTTCCCATGACGCTGAATGAACGCGAGAGATGAGGCAGTTAATAGAATGATGGCTATCAAATTCTTGCTGCTCGTTATCAGAACTTCGTCCTTGAACTTCATTGCATTTACAATGGTAGAAAAACAATTTCCCGACATGGTTACTAGATTTAATTTTTCTGCCTCAATCTTTGTCAATTGTTATACTTGGATTGCAATGGTTGTTGCTTTTCAATATTACTTCTAAATATATAGCGGGAAGATTGAGTTAGAAGGCCTAAATGGATTCAATTTGACCAGTAAATTTTGAAGATTTTTATGGAATTACACCAAAAAAATGACCCTCTAATTGACCTTACTTGCATTCAATAGTTGGACTGAATTCATGTCCGTGAAAGACACGTTTTTTTGAGCAAATTGAAGTTTTTGGCCTTCTCTGGTCGTAGATTTTGAAAATTTAAAACCAGTGGGTAGTCAAACTTTGACCCAAACAAAACAAACAATACCTTAATTTATTATTCCAAAAAAGACATGGAAGACAGAGAATTGAAACAGCATTCAAACTGCTTGACTTTTAAGATTTTCACCCCTTCTCCAATTCATTAATCTTCAAACAATTTAAATTTTGTTTCAGTTTTCGCCCTTTAAATGATCATAGAAATACTCATAGCAAGACACCATTACAAGACTGTAATTTACCACCATTTATTCCTAGTTTCGAAGGAAGTTCTAGAAACCAATATACTGTAACATATCGTTAAAAGAACCCCACATTTTATGAACTATCATCTAAATTAGTGCTACATAGCATTACTTGTATCTCAAACAATGTTTATAAAATTGTAAATGTACCCGAAGAATTGGAAGAAGCCTTTGTACAAGCTCTTCGGTGTCCCATGATGACCAACATTTCTAATAGCATGATGTCCGACAACAATTTTCCATTTTGTCGTTGATTCCCTTCCCTGAATGCTAATTCAAGTTCCCATTAAGCCAAAATAACCAAAACATTTACAAATTTGATTAAGATGAAACCGAGTCAACTTTTGTTATCAATCTAGCTTTTGTGACACTTCATGACCTAAGCTATTCGGCCGTCACTTTAATCTACACCGATACATTAAAAGCATTTGTCTTTACTATCTCTCATTTATGAATATTTTAGATATAACTAACGTAAAGATAAAGTGACCAAATTCTAATGCATTAGATAATAATCAAGAAAATTGAAAATCAAATCAACGCACTTCTAATAAATTTTCAGTATAGGTCTTTGCAGGCCTTTTTTTGTATTAAAGCTGATTGGCCTTTTTTTTAGACACAGATTACAATGAGTAGCAATGTATATATAGATGAACTAAAGCTCTTGTAGGAGGCCTATTAATAGTAAATTAATATACAAGGTATAATGGTACATTTACATCAACCGTGCCCAAAATTTGTGCCTATAGACTGATTGTGTGTCCATGATTTTGGAGTTAAGATCAGGGACCCTTTACACAATCTTCTTTAATGCATCTCTTGCAATTGGACATGACTCGTGTTTTGGGACTGATTTTTGCACCATATCCTGCTGCTATGGAGCTACCTGATTTGATAGTTTTTCGTCCTCTCGAATGTTCCTTCTTTGTAGGTTGTCAACTGAAGAAAGTTGAGAAGCCAGTAGATGAGGGAAGTCACTGGTCTTGGCATCTCCTGGAAATATAACCAAGTAATTGCGTATTAAATTATTAATTGTATGTATGAGGGGCATATTTCATATCCAGAATAACAACTTTGATAAGGGCATGATTTCTATCTAGTTGAGCATACCAAATATACTAAGGTAACACCATAGCAGAAATTCAGCAGAACCTTGAAGAAACTCTTGGAGTCTGGAGTCGATTTCAGATTCACAAAGTGCATGAACGAGGCTGAAAAATGAGGTTCTCAAATGTAGGAGAAAAGAAGGCTGAAACATCACACCTTTGTTTCTCCACACAGTCTTATATAAGTGTTGCATGATTTTGCCCACTCGTTTCATTTCTGCATCATTTAGTTGGAGTTCTTCCCTTAATTTCAACGCATGGTTGAGATCTGAATTCTTGCTCATGAAGGCTCATCCAATCAAGGTAGAGGCATTGTTCCAGATTCTTGTCAAAAGCAGCCATTGTCAGCAAAACCTCTTAATAAAGCGAGGCGAGGCAAGGTGATTCAATGCGTACATTCCATTTATTAATCGTTTATGTACTACCTACAAACAGGTTATAAACCGTGTAAACATTTTAGATTTTAAGTGTGGCAAAATATGAACCAACAAATAATAACTGAAAGACAAATTGTAGCATGAGATTCTTCATCATTTTTCCGTCAAGATGATGACTATCCACGCTTTGCTTTTTGTTGAAATATAGTGGTGTTAATGAAACCGGATTATCGTATACTATATATGTAGCTTAGATCGATTTTAAACACACCGTATTTGCAGAAAGCTTACCGTATATGCTGCCTACCGTATATACATTTGATCGTATTTTTCACATACCGTATTTTCACTTACACCTAGAAATACCATATGTGTAACATACATATACCGAATTGTATTTACCAACTATTAGCAAAAAAATTCAGATATATATTTTTTTTCCTATTTTTATTTCTTAAATAAATATAAAACAAGTACACTGCAAAATATATAAATCTAGAAAATTGTAAATGTGTAAATCGCTAAATAAATAAATTTTCAACCCGAGGTCCATGCAAGTGCAGTTCCCTTAAAGCAGATTCGTTCCATCACCGTAAGTGATTGAGATTTAATCCGAACGTCTGTTTCCCAAGATAAACGGTGATAGTAGAATCTAAACACTGCAGAAACTATTTCGACGAAATGAGTTTGTATTGAACAATATCACCACCAAGACGACACTAATTTGACAGAATATTTCCGTGAGCCATGCAGTATTCTCGTGGTTAGAATTGCTGGAAAAAATGAGACTTAATATAAGATTAAATCTACCTATCAACTCCATAGCAATAAACACTAAAGTTGCTTCAATTTTTGGGAGTTTTGGCAGTTTTCGGAAACTCAAAAGTCGGTTGAAGAAAGCAAAAAATTGCAAAACGTGGACATTCCAAACGGGCCAATTTTTGCTCCGTTCGGTTCCAAATTCATGTACGCAGGTTGCGCCTGCACACAAGTTCAAGGTCCGAAGGCAATTTCAGTCCGTGATTTGCACCCTCCCTACGCGCGCACATGGAGATAATCTCTTTGCTATACATGATTACACCCTTCCAAAGTGTAATCCTATATAAAGTGGTTCATACTTTCTTCATTTTCCTATGTGAAACTAGTTTTATTTCCCACATAAACCATCTTCCAATGGTCATCTTTGAACTCCAATTTCTCATTCATCCATTCATCAATTTTGGCAAATAAATATATGGTTTCGATACTCTTACGGAGGAGAACGATGATCAACTTCGATCTTCCAAATTTAACCAGTGGGTCCCACACAAATTTTATGCCAAAATCATCCACTAGCTCATTTTTTCCAACACCTTTTTCTTAAAATAGCACGTGGAAATATCACGTGGTTCGTTTTTGGTTTTGCCTGACGACTTTTGGAATTACGGGAGAAAAACCTAAAGAGTGAGATTTAAGAAAAACCACAATAAATGTGTGCAGTAAATAAGTAAATTGTATATCAGTAAAGAAGAAAAATTTTTGTAACATCGTATAGAAGACAATGAATTACTCCGAACATAGATGGCAGTAATCCTAGTGCATAGCAGTGAACTCGAACTGTCTTATCATAGAGGACTCATAAACGAATTCCAAAATTAAGTTACAAGAAATAAGTTCAAGTAAATCACTTACTTGCGACATCATCTACCTCGTAAATTGAAGAGGGTTCGATAAAACACCTGCCAAAGAACTTGACCTAAAACAACTTATATATTGTGCCCGGGGAGTAGGGGGTTGGCAGTAGTGGTATAGTGTGGAAAATTCAAAAGAAGAGCGGGCTTATACGTGATGTTGAGTGGGGAAATATATGGTCATAATAAAAGAGAATATTCCTTCATTTTTGTTCCATATATTATGGGAATTGTTTATTCATCCTACTATAATAATTTATTTTAAGTATAGTGAAATTATATGTTTCTTTAATTAAGTAATTCGTATAATATTATAAATTTTATCCCTTTAATTAAGAGATTTAATCACGCAGTAGGAGGTAATAATAAAAAAGTGAGCCTCCAAAATTTTAATTAGGTTCCTAACTATGAAAAGTCAATGATTTGGTCCCTAAACTATGCCAATCGACCAATTTTATCCATGTATTTTCAAAGTCTTACTATAAGGTCCCAATTTTCAAAATAAACTACTCTTAGGGAATTCTCGGGGTGTTATAACCTATCCCTCATGAAATAAATTTTCATCCTTGAAAATTACCTTAGCTATCATTGTCAAACAATTGGGAATGCTTAGTTTGTATCTCATCCTCACATTCCTAAGTTGTCTTTTTGACTGAACAATGTTACCAAATTCAATAGAACTTCTAGTACCGAGGCCCACGAATGTGCCTATTATCTGAGGCCAGTATGTGTAGCCATTAGTGAATGCTTGTTTAAGACACGTATGCATCTACCGCTACACCTGTTTTTTAAGGCAATGCTGAAAATTTATACGTTGGCTCCGACTCAACTTTTGCCAAATGGGTGGAGCCATTTGGTGCTTACTTTGCTTGGCAAGGACATGCTTCTACACATCTTCCAAACAACTTTTCAACCCCTTATACTTGGGAAGATGGAAGAGGAAATCGAAGGGAGTGGTATTACATGACCTCCTAGGGAGCCCATGTCCCTTTTATAATAGATCTGCCTTTCTCCATCAAGGGATGAAAGGAGTTCTGGTTTTGGGTAAAGTGTAGATGGTAGGTTGTTGAAGGTGATAAACTCTTAGCTGCTACTGTGTCAACCCAGTATTCTGAAACTCGTGAGTTGCTTTTTTCAATTTTATCATTTTATTCCAATAACTATAACTGATGCTATTTATTTGCAGTTTCAAGATATCAATTCGAGTTGTCCCAGGCTAAGTGGGATGTCATTGAGGTCATATACAAAGATCCTCAGAGGTCATGAGACTTCGATCGCATAATTGAATGCAATATATTTTTCTTGGACTTCTGA